TTTACAATCTTAGATCGAAACAATGTCGACGGCTGTCTACAACATCTGAACAGTCAACAACGAACTATTCGTTTTATCATAGAAATCGGGAGAGCTAACAACATTCCCTTTCTCGACACGTCAGTGACAAGAGACGCAGGCGCGTACTACCACTGTATACAGGAAACCAACACACACTTACCAATACCTAGCCTAGGACTCACACCATCCTCAGTCAGTGAAGCGTGGTATTGTGAAGTGCCTTCATAACCGGGCTAAACACCTCATAACGAAGCCTTCAGCTATCGCTGAAGAAACGAAACACTTGTCATCAGTACTTGTTTCTAAAGGATACCTTTCCTCGTTTGTGCAGAAGCTCATGAAAACAACAATAGCAACAGCTAACCAAGAACCCCCGCAGGAATTTAAATCAACTGCGGTTTACTCTATATCAATGGTGTGTCAGAGGTTCTTCTCCGCTGCCTTCAACAACAAGGCGTACGCACTGTCTTTAAATCTGACACAACTCTTAGGTCCTACTTAGTGCGACTTAACATCTCAAAGTGACTCCATCGTGAGACAAACGAGTGATATTCATCTGTCCTATCTCACACCACGATGAACAATAGACAAATCTTTAATGACATATATCAGTCTATCTCTTATAGAGGTGTATTACGTTTTTAAGACATATTTCACCTCAAACTATTATAACCATCTTCCTCTTTACAGCAAAAATTTATCAGATCTTTTAATTGTTTAAATTCTCAGGTCAAGTTACGCAGCATTATATTCTCAATTAATGTTATAAATTTATCGGGAGTCAAAACAGGAGCATTTTCTCCTGAAAAAGATAAATTGCGGCATCGTTACTTTTAATATATATATGTTATTTGACGGCTGGGAGGTCCATATAGTGAAAAACAGTGACCGAGGTCTTGAAAATGCTACCCGAGGCCGCATGCCGAGGGCAGCATTTTCAAGCCCGAGGTCACAGTTTTTCACTATACGGACCGACCTTAAGCCGGCAAATAACATGGCTATTTTTTTCCTGCAGTAAATTGGTTTTACAGATTACAAATGGGCTTATTTACGCAGCTCTTGTCACTGAATCGGCTTCCGCGCCTTCTACTAACGATTTGTAAAAAATCTTGCCAACGAGCGAGTAACTCAGATAGTGCACAAAGAAAGATGTATTAAATAACAGATTTTTTTTCGAACTATTTTAAGTTAGTTGCATTTATTTCACCAGTTAAGTTCTCCAAAATTGTTTTTGCGTTGTGAAATTTCGTACGAAGTTTGAAGTTTTACTACAAAAGCAATTTCTGTCAATCGTTACTTTTAAAGTCACTTGAAATCAGACTTTTCTATCGTAAATTGAATGGCAGAAAGGGAGGAAATTCGTTAAGTGTATTGCACAGAACTTTTCCTAAATACAGCAACGATCAGAGAGGTAAACTCGACTGAAATTGGCTCAAGTTTTACGGCGAGAGAAACACAGGATTACGCGCCATTACAGCGCCAAGCTACAACCAACCAAACATGCAAACTCTCACAACTTCAAAACACTCAATTGAATTTACTTACAGTGACTTTCCTTGCCATTTTAAAGTGAACAGAGATAAACTTGCGTTGACTAATCGTCGATAGATGTGTAAAAAGGTAAAACATTGACGATTACCGTACCGCTAACTTTTAGGAGCGAAATTTAGGCAGCGGGGAAAAAATCCGTATCGTAAAAAGCTGGACCGGTCACGTGCGTATGATTAGCCAATCAAATTCGAGGATTTAGGATTCCGGCCCGCTCAGATGCTTGAAAAAAAATTCGATTTAAGAAGCTATATTTAAAAAGTTAAAAGAAACAGCAGCACTATTTACACTATTGATCGCATCAAAGCCGATCGTGTGAAAAATGGGCAAAAATAGTTCCGACTGCGGAAAGTCAAATGACGTTGCGGAGAGAAGAGAAGACAATAGAGTGCTTTTCTCCTCTGAGCTGTGTAATAATCGCTTTATTTGGTTCACAGTGGCAAAGATTTCTTTCAACTAGATGATTTGATTGTCTTCTATAACCAGTAAATTTTGTAACTTGCATCGTAAAATATATGTCCGCTTTATTTTTGATTAAAAGAAAAAACAAATTTTATTTAATCGTTACACAATTTCTACATTTAAGTAAAATGAAGTATTGTAAATATTTCCGTTTCGATTTTTAAGAACCAAATTTCCCGCTTTTAAGACTCATAAGCTTTCGATATTTCGGATTTACAGCAAATTATTGAAAATGTACATATTAACAGATATATCAAAACCTACGACAGACATTGTTATAGAAAAAAACATATTAAAAACTGATTTTGAACACCTCGAAAGCCGAGAAATACCAGTACAGGCTTTCGAAAAACAAATTGATATAGCTCTTCACAAGCATTGAAAGAACCTGACAATAATGATTCACTTCTTTCCACAGGCAGAGGAGTAATTACTTCTAACAGTAATACGAAAAGGACAGAGCTTTGAGATGTGGTCCTTATCTGAGTGCATACCCTGGATGACTGTAGGCCTAGCCGAGTGTGTTGCTGTAGTAACAATCAACCTCTGTACAATAATTGCTTTTATAAGAAACCGTAATCTTCGCAAGCGTAGCACGTACCTGGTGATAAATTTGGCAGTTATAGATATGTTGGCTGGAGGATTTGCTGTGTGTGATATATTCTATTCTGTTGGAGTAACTTGCTCTGTATTTAAATGGTATTCAATGAGTCATTCGGTATTATGTGTACTAGTAGTATTCTTGGTTTTGTTCCCTTTTTGTTCCATGATAAACATCACCATTATTGCTCTAGAACGGGTGCACGCTACATTCTATCCGTTTAAACATCGAGGGCTTAAAAAATGGGTATGTGGATTAATAATTGCTGTTGTGTGGGTTACAGCTGGATTGCTAACAGTTGCTAATTCACTTCTTGTATATTTTGAAGAAACACGTTATTATCAGTATGGAAAGATTACAGTTTGCTTTTTTTGCCTGTTGATCATTGGTATTTCTTACACGTCCATTGTTATCAAAGTCCGTTGTGGAGCGCAGCCTCAACACCATGGTGCAGTCAGTAGAGAAAGAAAACTGACGGTGACTTTGTTGATTGTGACTGTTGTATCTATGCTGTTGTACTTGCCTCTTATTGTGTTCGTTTTTATCCGAACTAGCAGTAAATCATTCCTGCCGCTGCAAGTTTCAGTGCGTTTTCATTTACGTCATGCAATAAGCGTTCTATTTTTTGCAAACTCTCTTGTAAATCCTATAATATACGCTATGCGCATGCCTGAATATAGATCAGCTTTACTTGCACTCTTTCGCAAACAACCTCAGCAACAAAGACAAGCTGCAGTTTTACCCCTTCGTGACATGTAACATAGTATAAAGCGTGCTACAAAGCGTGCCCACGTGAATCAGTTACCTTAAATGTTACATTAGCCCAAATTTAGATAGAAGTTTTATTGTGTACAACCTGAGTGTCTACACCACGCTTGAGGAATTTGAAAACGCAGCTAAATTTTTATGGTTAGCCCTACCGTCCACATTAATCCGTCACGAAAACGGAGCATTTCGAAAACGCTCTTTAAACTGGAGGAATTTGAAAACGCCTGCTTTGCGTTTTAGTGTGGACGGAAACATTTTGAAAATAAAGCCTTTCGAAAACGATGAAGTTTTCCTTATTGTTGCGTTTTCAAGTTCCTCCGGCGTAATGTGGACGGAAAAATATTTAATGCATTTTCAGTTTGAAACCTCCTTTCAATAAATTCCTCCGGCGCAGTGTGGACGGGGCCTTGGAGTATCCGACTGGAATTTTTGTCAAGATGTCTACAGTTAAGTAAGGATCTAAGCTGGTCATATTAAAACACCTTAAGTCCAAATATGTTTGTGATTTTCCAGCGCTCAACATTTTAGCGATGTCAAGTTATAGCAGTGCAGAATTGTTCTAAATAACTCGGTAGAGAACGATTTGGTTAAATTAGTTATCAACTCTTCCACTCAACAGAGCATCTCATAGTCTCTTACCTTGTCGATTTGACGATTGCTTTATTGAACAGCACCTGAATAACGAGCTTAAAAATATAACAGCGCTAAGAGGCCTGTTATGGGCAAGGAGTTTTACGAGTTAATTGTAATACTCCAAACTAGTAGTCCCTGAAGCGCTTTTTACCCAGGCAGTGAGGCCTGGGTTTAAATTTCGGCTCCGTTTTTAGTGCACAGGGCACTATTGGGATAGTTTTGGGGACTGCCTGCCGCTAAGACACTAAGCCGATAATCCGCTAATCCGCTAAAGTGTAAACTTTAATGTTTGATTAATTAATTAATTTCAATTAATTAATTAGTCTAGAGACAAGGAAATGGTGGGGGTGAGCTAGGAAAGGTACATGTGTACCCTACGTAAAACGTGTTTAATCTACGTCAGTTAGGAGTAAACATCGCAAAGCTATACATTTGTTTCAAGTAACCCCTTGCTCTCCTTGTGGTACTACAAAACCAATTTGCTCTAAACGCACGCGCAGATTAGTTAGCGTTCGTGTCTTCTATACATAAGGTGGAGGATACATTGCAAAAGGGGTAACACACAAATGTTGAGTAGTTTTCCTTATGGTAGAACTCTACATGTAAGAGGCATGCGTCTTAGCATCGTAAGTGTTATATACTATGTTTCCACGCGGTTTTTTATGTCATGTAATGTCAGGTACTACGTAGCGTCACTTGTCCCTTTTTAGTGCAAAAGTTAAACGTATCTTTTAGAATTACCCACAGGTCGGTTCAACAAATATCATCTGCTATTTTCAAACTACAATAGTATGTTTGGCAGGGTTTAAATAAAGAAGGGAAATGTGAAGTTTCTCATTAGTGGCTTATTTATTTCTTGCCTTAACTGCGTCTGTAAGAGAGACCAAAAAGTTCCCGAGTTAGTGGCTTTAATATTCCGCAAATTGTAAATTTGTGACAAAAGAAACCGGGAAAGTGCTCAAATATTGCTGCAGACTACGTGGCACCTACTGAAAGCGCAAATTAATTT